TTTTGTGATGGGTTTCTTTGTTCAGTTTGAGCGTTATACTTGTTTCCTTAAGTATTTCACTTTTCCGGAATTTGGTTTGGTCTTTTTGTCGTGCTTTGGTTTGGTCCTTATGTATGCTACTTGTTGATTGGAAAAATCGTGGGGTTCTTGTCGGTTTTCATTTCTCTTGTCTAAACATTCTTCTTCGATTCGTCTGTTGTAACGATTGGTACAATTTTTGAGCAGTGTCTTTATGGGTTCAAACGAAGTCTGAAATGATGAAATAATCACTTATATCGAATGCATTCGTATGATTTACTACTTCAAACATCGATAATGATCAATCAAAGTCGAGTGAAACCTTTCAATAGTGGAATTGGAATTGATATTTTTTGGTGTCGTATAATGAAGTTTTATTCGATATCATTTAAAAAAAAATTCTAGTTCTATATTTTTCAACTCGTTATCAGAGTCAGTAGTGATTTTCAGTGGTAACCCATGATGAGAAATGAAATTTAAAAGATTTTCGAGAACTAGATCACCGCTAAGGGCTTTAAAGAGGTATGCTTGACCATATCGAGAAAAGGAGTTGATAATTGTCGTAAAACTTTCGTTCAATATCGTAAATATATCGATATGAATGTGTTCGAACGGTTTTGCAGTGGTATGAGTGAGATTGAATTTGATGATTGGAGGATTCCGATCATACTTATTCATTTGGGATATTTCGCAGTTATTGACAAAATTTTGAATATTTTCAATTATTTAAGGCCAATAAAAACGTGAACTCAGGAATGTTTTCATCTCATTGATACCTCTGTGGCATGTTTTTTTCGTGTGATAAAGTTGAAATTTTCCTTCTTGGTCATTTAATGTTTCTACATCAGTGAGGAATGTTCGACATTCGACAATTTTGAAAGAGGAACGTATTATTGAAAATTTTTTGCAATGAGGGGTCCTAAAATGAAGTGCATACGTTTGGATCGAAGTAATCTTTGATTTAATGATTTATTTTTTGTTTTTATTTGGTAATGTGATATATGACCGAACATTTTCAAAAACCTTTTCTGTTCTACTCTTGAGTTTTTCTATATCCCCAAGTGTAATAATTGCCTGGTTTTTATATTATTTGAAGCGCGTTCTGACATAGGAATGTTGCATATAGGATCCTCAAGTAGGTAAAGTGTGAACAGTTTCTGAGTCATAACTTTCTTCTTTTTCTTCTGGGGGAACGATCTGAACGTTAGAAATTATATTGATTGTCTGTGAATTTTTTGGGAGTTCAATAATTTGAAGAACGATTCCGTCCAATTCGGAGATCTCTTCGGGGTTTGTCCATATGTCTATGATTATTTCGTCGACATCACATGGATTATTTTGACTGGATAAAGTTTCAAGGGCATTTAAGTCGACGTTGGAAGAGTTTCTGTTTCATTTAGTTTGCTTTTTTGTACTTTATGACGCATTCAAACTCTTCGAGTTTGAAACGCCAGCGTACCAATATAGTGTTGGGAGTCTCATCCATTACCACTCGGAAGCTTGATGGTGCGTTTTTGAGACTAAGGTTTTCATAATGACCATAGTCCACATATAACGCGGTTTTTTCGATAGAATTTTGGGCCATTTTGATTTGGTGGAACGATAATCAATTACTATTCTCCATTTTTTTCAACACATAAATCGAGTTCCTTCACGGGGATTATTTGTATAAGTAAGAATTGTATAGTGGAAGACTGATTGGTCATTTTGGTGTGGATATTTGCAGTCTGAAACTTAAACTCTTTTGAGGATTTGTGGTGGTTACCGAACTCATTGTGCCAGGTGGAAGGATTTCCGAAACCAGGTATGTCTGAATCATTATCGCATCTCTCATGTGGTCTTAGCTATGGTATCATCTCTTCAATTCTACAACCTTCGTTTCTCGTCCCTAGATTCATAAGAAACAGAAGGCCCTTAGTCACTCATCAAGTCCCAGTAGGACTTCCGTGCAGAGCACCGCACACGAAGAAAAGTATAGAAAACCCCTTGCCCAGTATCTTGCTACTTTTCCTAATGAAAATATACCAGGGTTATCGATTAGTCAACTAGTTCCTATTGGTTTTATCTGATTCTGATTGAGAATTTCCTTTCGTAGGGTTTTTTTTTCTGAGGTGTAGAACACCTTGTTGACAAACTCCCCGGACTTGGAGGTGTTCAGCTACCTTTGGGGTCCTATTTGGTGATACATTACTGGGCCATCTTGTTGTGCCCTACAGGGTGATCTATCTTGGTGGTGCTACAGGGTGATCTATGTTTGCGGTGCTACAGCTTGATCCATCTCCGCCGTACTACAGGGTGATCCACCTCCGTCGAACTACGGGGTAGCCTAACACCATATACTGGGTGGCCCAAAAGGAGCACTCGAGTTATAATTGGTTTATTTGAATATTTGTGTAATACTAATGATGCATGAATAATTGTTGCCCTTTTGTTTATTGTTAACTGTTTGATATAGTGATTGCCTTTCTGGCTGAATTCACCGCTAGTTGGCAACGTGTTTGGTTACATTTGTAAAACGCAAATTGAAGTGTTTTCTTCCTTTTACAATTGCTTGTTGACACCGATGCGCCTAGACCCGAGCTCACGCGACGCAAACGAGATTGTCTTACCTTCCAATACTAGTATTTACGATTTTGCCCACACCTACTCAATTTTCGTGGTAGTTTTACTTGACGTATTGTAGTTTTCTTTTAAGCGTCCTTACTACCATAATTTATGGCTGATTGAATTTTTGGTTATAGGTATACACCGCGCTCAATGACCACTTGTATTGACATTTGAACATCGCGTAATAGTTGAATATCGCATTGTTGTCTTAGAAGCGTTGTTGAAATTTGAAATTTGCTAATTTGGTTAACCCACTCCCGTCACCACTGTTTAGCTTAGCCGCGGATACCCATCTCAGTGTTTTTATATCCTGGAGGCCCAACTTACTCGTACTACCTGTCAGCATTACCTAACTGTTCCGGTCAGTATCATATAACTACTACCTGTTATCGATCCTATGTTAAACTACCTAATTTTAATACCTCTAATTTGTTATGTATTTCCTCTATGTTGGTGATTATCTCCAATATTTATCTTTTTTTTTATTTAGAATTATTACGTATAAGATCAAACAAAGGACTGTTGTCGCTATTCCGCATTTTTCGATTTCCAAGCTTCCGAAGGCATCCAGAAACCTGTTGTCATGAATAGGTCTCAACAATTTTGAACATTTCTCACTTATTCTATGGTCGTTTTCTATGGCATGTTGAGCGACACTAGATTTCTCCTATCTATGAAACCGAACATGCGAAACATATTCCTTGTAGCAAGCTCACATAGTCCGTTTGATCTGACCAACATATTCCTTATCACAATTCTCGCAGCTCATTTCGTGAATTCCAGACTTCTCTTTTTTCCAACGTCTTGTCTTTAGGACTGCCTAACACTTGTGAAGTGTACGTGCGGTTTTGAAAATCACTCTTATATTAAATTTTTTGAATGCACAGACCTACTCATCGGTGTATTTGGGTTTATATGGAAGCACTATGCATTTTGAATCTTTCTCTTTTCGAAAAGTCGAGGCAATATGAGTAATGAGTAAGGTAGAGGATTCTGTATTATGCTTCAACAACAGATTTGCAAGTATCAAATTCACGTATGAAATTGAAAATAACAAAGAACTACCATTTTTGGATGTACAGTTATTAAAAATGTCGATGAAAGTCTAGAGTTTGATGTGTATAGAAAGGATATGAGCACTTTCAGGTATATCTCTGATAGCACTCATCATTTCCCACAACAAAATTGGCGGGACTACAATTTCTTGTCCATAGACTGCTCACATTTCCCTTGAGCAAAGAAAGGTATGAGATTGAGAAAAAAGTTGTTAGAGATACCTAAAAATCGAAAGTCTGGGATTTACGAAATGAGCTGCGAGAATTGTGATAAGAAATTTGTTGATCAAACCAAACTTAGCACGCTACAAGGAACATGTTTCGCTTTTTCGGTTTCATAGACCAGATAAATCTAGTGTCGCTCAACATGCCAAAGAGAACGACCATAGAATAAATGAGAAATGTTTAGAATTGTTGAGACCAGTACGTGATAAAAGGTTTCTTGATGTCTTCGAAAGCTTGGAAATCGAAAAGTGCGGAATGAGTTCTATGAATAGCGACAAAGGTCTTTTGTTTGGTCTTATACGTAATGATTCTGAGTAAAATACCAATAAATATCAGAGATGATCACTAACATAGAGGAAATACATAAATAGATAACAAATTAGAGGTATTAAAAACAGGTAGTTTAGAATGGGATCAATAACAGGTAGTAGTTATACAATTTTAACTGGTGTAGTTAGGTAATAATAACAGGTAGTAGTTAGGCCACTAGGATAAAAAAACACTAACATATTAGTAAAATTCAGTCATAATGATCTTCTGAGGGCGTTAAATTGGTTAACGAAACGCGCTTCGAGAGACCGTAATTTTTATGCTGGTGTCAGGACGGTGTCTTCAATAGATTCATTTAACGCCAGAGGTTTCAGTACGAACCATCAAGTATTTTGAAATGTCATTGTTGAATTCTTCGCTTCTTCCAATGCCCCATTTTTGAACGTTAACTCTAGAACATGTAACTCCCTGACACTTTTGAATGTACATATTCTCATTGAGGTTGCATTCCTAACCCTTCATGCTTAATTTTAAAACTGGAAAAGCTCTATCGCTTCATAAACAACGATTTATTTTACAACCGACAACACCGAACCTGTGATGCTTGCGCTGGCGACGAATCACCTCGATACCATCTTCATCTCTCTTTCTCTCTGTATCGTGTCTTTCTCCCACTCACACTCTGAAACACTTACCAACGACGCGCGATCTTGGAGTGAGGTCATAAAGACATTGTTCACTTACTGAACTATATTGAAAGTTACCCTTTTATTATTGTATACAAAATAATATCTTTGTTGATGATTACCGTTTTTTGAATTCCAGATCAATGTGGAAAATGCAAAGCAGCTACGAGAAGATTGAATATGAATAAATATTGCAAGAGAGACTATGGTAAGTAAAGGCAGTTTTTTATTACTGAGATATTCAAAATGACTTCTTGGGGTTGAAAAATATATTCAATTTATCAATTCATTCAAAAAGCCTATCAATTTTTCAATCCACTTTTTCAAAAACGAAGAACGATGGAAGGAAACCTACTTTTTTCGAACAAGTGCAATTACAAATCCAAATTGCAGGTACAACCAAACATCTACAAAATATTGAATAATGCTTTCGTAAAAGATCGTTGTAAGTTGTATTGGTTTCTCTATCTAAAATATTTGGATTTTCAAAATTCATTTTATTATCCTCCGAATTAACATGTTCTGTTAATGCACAAGAATTAACATTTCGTCTACAGTCGCTCTTATGGGACATATAACAAAGAGTTTTCTTTGTAACAGCCCAGCTATTGACTGCAACCTCACGAATTAAATCGATTTATATATATGTATATATGATATATTGAAATATTTTTTCTTTCAGCAATTATGGCAAGAGTACTCTCTCGAATTGAAAACAGTGATGAAGAAAACACCAAAGGTTGGATAAGATTCATGGTTAATGTTGAATTCATTTACAAAAAAGCTGGAGATTCTCTGATCCGCAAAGGTGTTATGCCAATGCTAATTCCAGCTGCTGACCTAGCTTGCAAATGTCCTAAAATAAAATCAAACAGGTAAGAAAAATTGCTTCAATAGAGTTCATACCGTCTTCCAACTAGTTCCTTAATAGGGATGTAGAATTAGAAATGAAATAATTTCCCATAACGCTAACATTTAGTCTTGCCCTGTACCAACAATTAAAATGATAATTGTCTATGAAGAATGCCAAGTTATTCCATGCCACGAAATGTCGGTGTTCTAATCGTGTCACGGAGCATCGGAAATATTACTATTTTCTGGCCAAGATGTACTGCAAATGTCATATGGAGACAACGGGGACTATTAAGGGAAATTTTGCAAGAAAATCAAATCAAGTCAAATCAAACTTCATTCATTGTATCTATAATTGTCATTGTTACAATTTATATTGTTTTAACAGATTATATAATCCTGTACAGAATCACCCATGCATAAATGCTTGTATTTCTCCACGAGGAATTTTTTTTTTTAATTTGATGTTTCAATGTTTTGATGTTTGAAGAGTTGAGGACTGATCGTATCTAGGGATTTAAAAATAACTAATTTTTTGTATAAAAACATTGGCGAGCGAATAAATGATAAAGGTATTTTGACTAAAATTGAGTTGAAATGAATAAAATTGAGGAGTGCTTTTTATTTCATTATTAATTTTTATTTATTCGTGCATTTTTATTTATTTGGTTTTCATTTATTCATTTATTTTTGTATATTTATTTGTTCATTTCAGTTTTATTTATAAGTATATTCTATTTTCATTGATAATTTTTTTATTTGGTATTTAAAGGAACCCAGTTTACATATAGTGTTTTATTTGAAGTGGTGGTTTGTTGTATACTTTCAGACCTATCTGAAAATATATCAATCAATTGGTTCGTGATAAGTATAATTGGAATAGTTTTGTTGGGATTTATTGTTGGTTTTCTTTTTTTATGCATATATAATAAGCATTGGTGCATATGTAGTTTGTTAATGTTGAAGATGTCTAGGTCTTTGTAAAGCCTATCAGTGGATAATCCTTTATTTTTTTAAACTATTTTCAGGTCTGAGTAGTTTTCAAATTTTGTAATTCATTATTATATGATTCTTCCCATATTACTATACAATATCTAAATAATGGTTCAATTAAAGATGTATATATAAGTTTTAGGTTTCGATTATCTAAAGTATACTTTTGTATGTAGAATATCGAATAAATTGCTCAACTAGCTTTGTTTACATATTTCGCATGTTCGTTCCATTTTGGGTGTTGATCGACAATCAAGCCAAGATATTTCATTTTTTGATTTTTTTGAATTGATGGACAGTTGCAATTTGGTTGAGTGCTTATTTTGTTATGAAGCATAATATTATTTTTGTTCAGTTGTGTGTCAACATTTGTAGAAAATATTATAAATTTACTTCTAGACGCATTTAGAGACAACTTGCAATAATATAGCCATTGTGAAATTTTTGTAAAACTCTTTTTATATTTATCGAATGAATTATCCCAGTTTTCATCAGTAAACAAAATTGCTGTATCGTCAACGTATGAAACAATATTTCCTTGAAAATCCTCAATTTTTGCTATCGAGTTGATATACACAAAAAAGAATTTTACCTAGAACTGTTCCCTGCAGTACACCTGTTGTTATTTCAAGTGGTGTGCTACAAATTTGATCAATTTTTACTTTCTGATATCTGTGTTTTGATTAGTTACCTAAAATGTTCAATGCTAGATCGCGAACCTATCTTTTTTAGTATTTCTATTGATATTTCGTGGGATACTGTATCAAAGGTTTTCGCTTAGTCAAAAAATATACATAAATATTCATCTGACTTGACTAAGCAGTCAATAATCTCTTTTGTGAGATCAATTGTGGCGTGTTCTGTGCTTAGCTTATTTCTAAAACGTTACTGCCTGTTACTAGGATCTTTTTTATATTTTCAAATTTAAAGACAGGTGTTATATTACTTTTCTTCCACTGTTTTGGGTTCACCCCTTCTAAAAAAAACGATGTATGTTAGTGGTGAAATGTTGTGCATATGTATTGATTTAATTGAATCTTAATTTTTCTTAAGTTGAATATTTGTTCAATTATCTCATTTTCCGAGACAGATCTCAGATAAATTGTAGACGAAACATTTTGTTTTCCTATCAATTCATTGGGTTTTATTCATTCTCCCTGCCATTTTTTTGCCTATGTTAGTGAAGAAATCATTCAGTATGTTTACTTCATCTAGAATCTAGATTATTAAGAGTTCCGATGCTTTCCCTATGATAACTGGGAATATTTTTTAGTTAAGTTTATTTTATTTAGTGCGGGGGTGTTTATTTCGATATATCGATCAGCTCTGCACTTGGAGAAAATTCTTTCTTCTCGTACGGGGATGCTCAGCACTTTCTCTTGGGTGATTTGTTCAGCTATTGATTAGCTTACGTTCATTGGAATGAGTTGACAATTTGTTGTGAAATTGTCTTAAATCAGCCGGGTTGTACACTGGTCCTGTGGGTAGTAGTGTTCTATACAGAATATACATTAATAAATAGGGATATTTGAGGATGAAAATATGGTGGTTTAGGATGATGCGGTACAGGTGATAGAATATAAAAACTTCGCTTCTGATAATAGGAACATGAATTGAAAAAATCAATTTTGTTTTCGAAAATGTAACTCGTGAACCGAAGAAGTGATAGTATGATGAAATATTTTCGAATTTTGGAATTTTGCTCTCATTGTGAATTTGACTCAAGTATTTTATCATTTTTTCCAGATCTGAACTGGATATAATTGAATTATGCAAGGCGTTCAATTTTGCGAAGGTAATTGCGACAGGTTGTCAATGAATGCTATGATATTTTGGCAGACCAAAATTATTTGAGAACGTACACCTTGAAAACTGATATAATTTTTGAGATCGACTATAGTTTTTTGATTGACCAACTGGAATGTTTTCAAGCTGTTGTCGAGCGCTTTTTGATTTGAACTGAGTGTTCGAATAGTTCGATTATAATGATTAATCAGTTGTTTTAATTGTGAGGTCTGAAGATTCAGTTCTTAAATGATATTTTCTTGATTTTTTCTAAAACTGCGACAGAGCTGAATTTTGCTGAAGACCTTTATTTCACCATAAAAAATAAAAATTTGAAAGTCCCAATCTGTCCCTTGAGCACTTCAAAAGTTATTCGGGGTCAAAGGTAAAAATTTTAGGCTTTTTGAGTTTTTTTCGATAACCGTAGTTGTTATCAAAAAATACTTCATACCAAAGTTGTAGATCTCAAAATTCTCTACTGAAATGGTTTCCATGATTTTTTTCTGTAAGTATCACCGTTCCCGAGATATCGTAATCATAAAAGTCACGTTCTATGTAATATGCATACGTTTCCATACCACCTGTGAGGTAGTGGCCTTTTTCACGAATCGTTATTACCTAATTTTCAGTCACAATACGTATTTAACTGCATGAAGATTATTCGCGTTGATAATGTTTATGGAGTGATATTGTCAGTTTGGATTTCTTTTGATACTTTGCTCTGATTCATTCTCATAGCTAACTTCAACAATCACGTCTTCTGCGATTTCTTCTTCGCCTCCTTCCTCTTCCTCTTCTTGCCGGATGTTCATAAATTGTTCAAATAATGATGTATCAGTTGTCTCTTCACCAGCATCACATGAATCATCCTCTGTTGTACTCGACTCAGCATTTGAACAAGAGTGACCTTGGCAATTGGTACACGCATGTGAACACTATAACCCTACTTTTCTACAGCCGCATTTGGCACTACAACCTATCTTGCATTTGCAAAAAAATTTTTTAAGGAGTTTTCCAGGAACAGGGGGGAACAAAGTTTTAATTGGTTCCAGAGTATTATTTATTCATTTTCAACCCTGGTCTTCAGGGTTAAGTTGATTTCCTTGCCATGTCTGAACTTGATGATATACCTAATACAAGTGTTGAAAGCAGATGCCAATGTTGGAGATAGTTGTAGAGACAAGATAGTTGTACTTGCTACTTGTTTCGGGTATTTTTGACAAAGGTTAAATATCTGTACTTATCAATGCAATCTACTTTTTTAAGAGCTCCATAAATAGCAAGAAGAATTCGAATTCCTTTCATAATAATTATCTGAGGTGGAGAATCAATGTATGTGAAGACTTTCGCACAGTCAATTAAATCTTTTTTTTTTTCAAATAATTCAAAAACTGAATTTTTGCCCCTTCTGTACATGTCGATGTAGTATCACAACCGGTTATCGCACGTTAAAATAAAATATAGTTTTGGCATTTTAGATATGCTAATAAACTTTTTGAAGAATATATTTCTGTTAGCTGTTGAGCCTTTCCAGGTTTCAGAAAGTAAATGGTTTCATCAATTGGGGTCCTTGCGGTAAGTAGAACCAACAAATCAACATCTTCACCCTCTACAATTGTTGTGTTTGTTGCATTGAATTTTTCTAGTCGTGGCATCGGCTCTTCTTGTAATACTGAATTTTTGGGAGTAACAATTTGTATAATACCCATTATATGAGCGTATTATTACCGTCCAAAGTATTAACATTGATATCAGCATTATCTGCAACACATTGAACAAATGTACCTGTTTCTGGTAATAAAATGTGAGGTGGACGACTGGAAACTGCTGCTGCTTCATACTTCATTGTTTCACTGAAAGATTCGCATAAACCAAAAGACGAGAAAATTTGTATGAGCCTGTTTAATAAATGGCGTGAATCATACACACTAACTTTATTAGGCAAAACGTATTAATTTACAAAGGTTCAACATAAACGTATTCACTTAAAAAACAAAAAATATAAATTCAGTTTTAGCCATTTTACTCTCTGTCTTATTACTGTCAAGCACACACTAACTTAATACAGGAGTGACAGATGAGATGAAAAACTATTATTTAACACACCCCTTTTTTTTATCATATCATGAATATAAAAATTTTTAATACACAACTGGTATAAATAAGTTTCTATCATATTATATTAATAAACACTTAACAACTTTCTTAGTTTTTCAAATATAACAAAACTTAAGGCTTTTGTTAATATATCAGCCAATTGTTCTTCAGATGAAATCTTTGACACTTTAATGATCTCTTTTTTAACATAATCATGAACATAATGGTATCCAACATCTATATGTTTACTATTTTTAGAAAAATTTCTATTATTAGCCAAATGTTTTGCTGAAGAATTATCTTCAAAAATTTCGACTGGTTCGCTTACATTTAAAGACAGATCTTTTGCAATACCTATTAGGAACATCACTTCATCTGTGGCTTCTGCCAAAGCAATATATTCAGCGTGACATGAGGATCTAGTGACGACTTTCTGTTTTCTAGAGATCCACAAAACTAGATTTTCTAATACTCTAACTATAATACCACTTCTTGATTTACTGTCAACAGTATATATCGCTTGCCCAATCAGCATCTACATAACAATCAACATGTACATCACATAACGAGTTAAATACGTTAAAATGAGTGTTTGAATAGTTATTTTGAAAACCGCTCAAATAGTTTACCGCATATCTGGAAGGGTTCCCTGACTAATATACAATAATGCGTCTATCAAGTTTCTATATAGAATTTCAACTGGACAAGTTTCTGCTGCCTCTAATTTTGAATTTAATTCAATTGGTGTACGATAATTTTTGCTTTCTATGACATTATATGTTCTTGCAATACACTCGATATATTTCGTTTGACTTAATCTCATGTATTCCTTGTCTCTATCATAATCAATGTCAATGACTAAATAGTTTTTTATTTTGCCAAAATCTTTCATTTCAAATCTCTTATTCAGCTCTTCTTTTATACATTTCAACTCTGCGCGATCAGGACTACACAACAATAAGTCATCAATATACGAAATGTCATATACAGATTTTTCTATATCTGAATATCTTTAATATACAGGCTGATTCACGATGGATGGCACATTAGACGTTTCTGGTGAACCAGACAACGGATCATTTTGAAAATTTAATGGAGGGCATATTCGAACATTCTCTAGCTTTTTCGATAACCGTAGGTGTTATCAAAAAATACTTCATACCAAAGTTGTAGATCTCAAAATTCTCTACAAAAATGGTTTCCATGATTTTTTCTGTAAGTATCACCGAAAATGAAATCAGCAGCCATGTTTACGGTATACAGTGTGTGCGACATCAAGCTACCAGTAGAAGTTTGTGATAAAGGAGTAAGGTTAACAAAAATATGTTGAATAAAAGTTTCAGATATCCATGCATTGGGCTTCTTCGGGATATTCTTCATTATATAAGATGTGGTATCACAACATTAGATTTTTCATAATGAAATGACACAAATTGGTTGAGGCTTTCGCGGCCGAGATTTTCAGTGTTACTATCTTCGTTCGGGTTTGAATGCCATCGTAGTTTGGGACTGCATCCTAACGTTTCGCCAGCATGAGTTGCTGGCTTGTTAAGAGGTTCATTCACCTTCATGATTCACCGCTGACTCAAGATGAATAAACCTCTAAAAATAATAGCCACTCGTGCTGGCGAAACGTTAGGATGCAGTTCAAAACTACGATGCCCTTCGAACCCAAATAAAGATAGTAATACTGGGAATGAGATGAAATGGATTTCGTATTTCGTTGGGAAGATAGGTTATAAACCAAAAATTTGAAGAGATATTTCAGAAATAATCTCAGGAAGCTAATCTTTTCAATTGTCTATATTGTTAATGAGTATTCATTTCGATAGTCTTTTTTGTTTTGGGAATGTTTCGAGAATGTGGTGTATCATTTTTGACTAATAATTTGACCTCAATAATGAGTGAAACGAAACTCAGCAGTTTGTTTCATTTCATTCGATGAACAGTCACTATTTCATTTGAGATACGATTTCTTCTCGAACAGAGGAAAAATAATTGGTTGTGAAGGTGAATATCAAGCATTTCAAAACTCAAAATGAATAAACAAAATATATATTATTTTTCATTATTTGACTTCTCGAGCCAAGAACTTGAAAATGAAACGAGTTTGAAATGAAATCAGGAGATTACAGTTTCAGTCATCCCCTTTTAAGATAATTTGTTTAGGGAAACGCACGTGAAGAGACAGTATTTTGGTTCTGGTGTGGTAAAAGTGTTTTGAACAGGTTTATTTTACGCCAAAATTTTCAATTTCAACTATCAAATTCGGAATATGTTTGAAAACACGCGGCACTTACCGGTTACTATAAATTCTGAATGTCAAGGACGTTTTCTCGTTAAGAGAAGTGGAGAGAAGTTGAGAGAGGTCGAAACGAGACAATATAAAAAAAAAAACGAGAACGGCTTCTCTCGTCGAGAGAATTGGTATTTTTGTGTAGAAGGGAAGTAAATTTTCTCTCAACTCAGTCGAGACAAGACGTGAGAAGACAATTTCTTGCCTTGACAAGTAGTAACAACTAATTTCAAAATATTGAACGAAAGAAAAATCATGAAAACAGTCAATGTCATCAGTCATGTACAAAATTTTTCTCTTCACTCGTGTAAATAATTTTACCATCAAGAGTTTTTATAGGTTTGATATGAAAAAAAAATCTGAACGATCCATGCACCAGACACTTCAAGGTCACAACGCCTTGACTTCACTGCACAACAAAAAAAACTTCACCAAACAACAACCAATAAAAAAAGCAATTAATACGTCATAGTGGTGGGGGGAGGCCGAGAATCAGCTGTAAACAACTACTTACAATTCCTTAAATGACATTATTTCATTCATATCTTTGAAAAATGAGATCAGTTCAAGAATGAAATCTTGATCAGTTTAGTTTCGTAAAATACTGTAATTATCGAAATATTTCCAAATGAAATAGAAGTCAGATCGAAAATGTTATGTAATATATCAAAATTGATTTGGAATAGCACCAACTATAAGTTGAAATTAATGTAGTGGCAGTCAACAATAGAAAAATGAATAAATAATTTCTTTTTTTGATTTTTTCCATCATTTGAACTTACTGGTCCAAGAAGAGAAAACACCAGTTCATTTTCACTAATTTTTTTCAACATATCTGCTCCCTTCAGCTGACTGCAAATGGCTTTCCCAGCAAAATCACTGACTCCGCAATTGATAATGACTCCATCATAAAGAATATCATCCGCTTTGGCTGTGACAAAAATCGATGAGGGATTACCATATATGGATTTTATTGCTTTGTTGACTAAGGAAAGAGCTCCTGGTTTCTGCCGGACCACCATATTAACTAGACCCTGCAAAATGAGTCTGTACACAATTTTTTTTCCTGAAGATGACGTTAGTGAAGACTTCAGAGCGAGAGAAATTCTAGAAATATTTGTATAACTTGTTTATCCCAAAAATTTTTTTTTTCACAATGAAAAAAGTTCGCGGGGAAATTTCAGGTTATTTAAAGAATTGTGGAATTCACATTTCCTGACAGTTTTCAATGAACACTGAAGATAATGACTCCTTTCTTCTCTTTCATGAATATTTCATATTCGACTCTCACCTCTGCTGTTTCGGAAACTATACAGATACTTTGAAATTTGAAGAAAGTTGAGTATTTATGTGACTGACAAAATGCCGTTCTGAATGTTTTCAGAAACGAAACATTATGGAAAACTGGAATAATTTTGAAGGAATATTCGAAAACAAATATTTCATTGACAGGTTCCGGAAGCGAAACAGTTTATCAGCGATAGTTTTAGCATTCAGCAATTTATCACATTTTATATCTCATTGTCGTCAAAAATCATACTAAAGAAGAAGAACCGAAAACAAAATTATACATGCATGGAAAACTTCATTTCCAAAGATATTACTCTATGATATGTTGCCGTGATTCATTTTTATCCTTCTCAATCTACCAAATTCTCTAATGATATTGTGTCAAAGGTCTTCGAAATTTCACGCCAATTTCAACACACCGATTTTTCATTTCATTCTAGCTCATTTTTTGGCAAAAATGCCAAATTTATCATACATTTTATCGACTGACTTGAACAAAATTGAATACATCATCGATGTTTTTGTACCGTTTCTATAGTTTTTGTGTCAATTTCAATTTTTAAATTCATTCGTTCAATTTTCAACTACAGTTCAAAATTTCATTGGCTACTAGAATATTTCTTTTATATTTTTGAATTTTGTTGGTGAAGGGTACATTGTGATGTATCATTGGAAAGATAAAAACACTTTCGAAAATTACAGAAATTTAACCCTTTCGCAACGGGCCTCTTTTTACGTGATATCGCTCATATACGGGGATTTTCAGTGATCTCGCATTCGTGCGTTTCCCGTTCACAGTATCCCCGCATATTTGCGTTTCCCGTTATATAGGTAAGGTGCGCATTCATGCGCTCATCAAAAAAATGGAGAATCTCCGTTTTTTGGATGAGATATAAAATCAAAATCCAATATGGAACTTTTGGATGATATAAGAAATCATGAAGCTGTGAGAATTGTATTTTTATTTCAACTCACAAAACCAAATGTAACAAAGAACGATAATGACATAAACTAACCAAAGTCCANGGATCACCGTCGACGCTCGAGTGAATATACTGTGATTATAGAAGTACATGCAGTCGATATAGCCTCGCGTAGACAAACATGATTCAACAAGTTCAATCTGTCTCGCTTTCGTGCGACTCCCGCTTCCAAATGCTATTTCACAGCTTTCGAAATTATGCGTCTCCCGCATATATGCCAGTCAGCGATATGCGCTTATTTGCGGCTCCCGTCACGAAAGGGTTAATACAGTGCTCATGAGAAAGAACAAAATTAATGATAATACAAAATAAGACGAAACGTTCGCTGTAGTACAAAGAGGAATACTCTAGCATTATTTTTTCAGGTTTCTTCAAATTTGAAATTTTCTATGTGGTATTTTTCCAGTCATATGAATGCAAAACTTCAACTCAATTCATTTGTCTTCATATCCTTCTAAAAAGGCAACCTTTATTCTCAAATCACATATTATAAGATGAATAACTTATAACGTGACGGACAGTTACAGTCAAGTGAGTTTAAACAAGTTTGGTTTGATAGATGCGACGATGTTCTCAACAAAACGTGAATTGCATTCGGATTTTCAATATTGAAAAGCTATTTTTAGAGGACTCACCAGTATCATCGGATGTGGTATAGTAATGTATTCCTGGCCAGTCCTACAACCAGGCCGTGTTTTCTTCAGAAAAGTATCTTTTGGATTGTATGAAATTGTGTCATCTGCATCCAAATCTGTAACGTCTATTTTTTCTTTCCATTCTCTAAAAGCAGTATTTGGTTCTGTTCCACTATCCAAAGTTGGGCCAGTGATCGGACATATGAATAAAATTCTTCAATGTTGATGAAGTGAATGAAATATAGATATGAATTGTTGATGATGTCGATGTTGAAAATGTATATGAAATATTATGATAGAGTTTGACTGAAACAGCTAAATCTTCTTGTCGAAATGTATTCATAAAAAATTGAGTGAGACACAATACTCACTCATAGCAAAACGGTCCAACTTCTTTGATAATTGGTTTCTCTCCATTTTGAATTTCCATTGGATTCGTCACGTTGAATAGGTACACTTTTATGGACAGCGGGAATGGAACCTTGATGAACATTTCTCGTAAATCGTTCCCGGGACCTAGATTAATCATCTGAAAGAGTAATTTCACTATAGTACATTTCTATGTCGATATAAAAAATCTATTCAAATGAAATTCAAGCTCAATAGCAGAATGCTAGAGATATATTTATGTAGAAAGTTGCAATCATTATCAGTCATAGAAAATCTGACAGAAATTATTTATACTTTAAGGTCGATAATGATAATAACCAGGTCTTTATTCCCAATGAAAAATGAGATAATACATGATATTCTCAGGGGGAAACGTTTTTGGCCTTCTATTTTTCCACCTAGATACAAAAAATGTGGGATTCTTCGAAAGGAAGCAAGCAATCAACTCCAAAAAATTTAAGCCACACGAGGATGGGTAGATCATTCAAAGAAGTAACTTTCAGATACAAACTGAAAGGAATAAAACTACATTGAACATTCCAAACAAAAACATTTATATGAACGCTGAATTATACGAAAAACACTTTTCTCTATTCTGTTTGTATTTCAAACATTCGTCTGGAATCTAATGAGATATCATTCATAGGATTTCTACGCAATATAATCAATGAATTAAGTAAAAATTTCACTTACATGTAACACCGTCATCCTCACTGCTAGATATCCTATGTTTATACTGAGTTAATTTTTTGAAATTAATTCTTTCCTTTCTTTGGGAGATTCCCACATGTTCTGTATCGAGATAAAAAACTGTCTTTCCCAAAAAATAATCTCTTCCAAAAATATACCCTTTCAATTTTAATGGTATTCTCCTTATGATGCTCAGAAATCCCAAAGGGGAGTTCACCCAAGGGTGCTCTACCAGTCAACCCTTGCTATTTTGAATATTATATTATGAAAAAACTTATTGATACCGTCTATTTTGTTTCTCACTATGAAGGGAGGCGTATTTATATATATGATATAACACACATATTGAATGAAATTTGAACCTATCTTTTTGGTAACCAAGTTCAGTTCCGTAAGTTCCTAGGACATATGTTCAATCTCCCTTATTCCATAAATATAACGAATACCAGGGTTTTGAACACACTGTACTCTTGACGAAGTATTGTAGTCAAGACAAGGTCCATAGACCTTGGAACAATAATCAAATTGTGATAAAAAACTAAAGACTCACAAAACATTTTCTCTATGGGTAAGTTGAGAAACATTTTGTGAGGATATAGTAATCTTAGTGCACCATAGGCTCTTTGAATATTTTGACTGATATGTTTCCTGAACCTTAACAACTCATCTAAAGTCAAGACAATATCTTTTGAATTACTTTCAATCCTAGTTACTTCGTTTTTAGGTGCAGTGTCAAGTTATTTTCAACAAGCCATGCATGAGCATTGCTTCCAAATATAGCACTACTGATTTTTTTTTTGATTGAGCATTGTTTCAGTTTGCAACAGCGTTGCCACGGTCATTAACATCGATAGAAAGGTATAGCTGAATGTCATCAGCATAGATGTGCATTTTACCATGTTCAACACAGTAATGAAAATGGCTACTATAAAGTGAGAAAGAAAGCGGTCCCAAAACTGAGCCGTACTCTCAAGATGACATTCCTAGCTGTGCATAATTGATTTCCAAATTTAACGTTTTATTCACGATTGGTGAGATATTACTGATACAGCTGAAGAGATTCCAAACAGACTCTACTTGTTTTCAATATGTTTGAGTTTTTTCGAGTCAAATTTAATAATTGGAATTTGACTCTATTCCTGTTGACAGATTGATTCAAAATTCGGTACAATTTTAGGAATTTTGTATCATTGTGAATCCAAGATTGTCGCAGTTACAAAATGGCCGATTATATATTATTCCACAACTACCTCGATATGGGTATCAAATAACAGGGCTTGACTTGTAAAATTGAAGTACCAACAATTTGAAAGAAAATGCAAATTCAAGATGACCGCAGCTACAAAATGGCGAAATACATATTTTTTCACAACTACCTCAATATAGGTATCAAATAACAAGGCTTGACAACTGAAATAGTGGTACACTTTTGAAAATATGCAAATTCAAAATGAACGCAGCTACAAAATGGCGGATTACATTTTTTTCACAACTACTTTATAATGGGTATCATATAGTAGAATAAAAGTACACTTTGAAAAAGATGCAAAATCAAGATGGCTGCAATTACCAAATGGCGGATTACATATTTTTTCACAATTATCTCAATATGGGTATCAAATAATAAACCATGACTTGTAGAATAGCAAAATTTCAAACTGAAAATTTCAAAATGAAATGAGTGAAAAAAAATTATGTTAAATGTTTTAATTGAATAAAAAAGATAATGATGTAGATACTGTTATGAAAACTGAAAAATAATTCGGACGGTCCTAGGTAGCAGTCATCACGCCAATCTCCTCACCAATATGCAATACTGCATATTGCTGAGGAGATTGTTAAAAAATAATAAAATCTTTGGACGTAGTATTTACATATTTACTCAGGTTACGCTACGCTCAATAATTTTATTATTTGACTGCTACCTAGGACACACAAGAGAGATTCATGACATTTCCTCTCACACATGAGAGGTTTACAAAAAAAAGTGACAATACAGGATATACCAGTCAGAAACGGTTTCTGGAGGGGTATTGTAGATAATATTATCAGGAAGAACAAGTTTAAGTGGAGAATGAACGAAATATCGACTTTTAAAAACGATCAAAACCAAGATAAATATATCTCAGTTCCATACCACCGAAATACGAAAAACTTTGGAGAGATTTTTGGAGAACTAGGTATAGAGGTGGTATTTGAAACAAGTCATAGACTACAGACCCTTTTAGAAAATCCAAATGACGGAGTCGAGAATTCGGAAACGTCTGAAATTCACGAAATCGAAGGCAATGCAAAATATTATGGACAGACTGGAAGATCTATCAAACTGAAATATAAGGAACACTTGGCACACCTAAAATATGGAAGACCAGGAAAATCACCAGTCGCCCATCATGTTTCGCAACAAAACCATTCCAGACTTTGATTCATTAAGATTAGTTAGACAAGTTAACAACAACAGGCACCTGGATGCCTATGAGAGCGTAGAAATAATAACATAATATTATGAATAACGTTGATGAACCAATACCTAATAGTTTACTAAATAGCATGTTGAAATGATATTTGAGTTATCAGAATCAGCTGATTAGTANGATATCATCTTTTTTGTCCGCCATTTTCTTTCTTTCTGTTTCTTGTGCAACTATTCTTTTACTGCAATTTCTACTCGTTTTGCCAACCACGCTCTGCTACCATGTTAAATAAACGGCGTGAATCATTTACACTGATTTTATTTGGCAAAAACGTGTTACTATACAAAAGTTCAACAACATAAACGTATATTCTTAACAATCAAAATAATATCTTGAATTCAGTTTCGGCCATACTTGTTTATAACTAATCTTCATCCGTCAAACACACACACATCAGGCGGGAGTGACAGGTGACATAGAATCTGATTTGAAAAGAACTATTATTTAACACACCTCCTTTCTTTTTGAATCATATCATGAATATAAATGTTCTTAATACATAACTCGTATAAATAAGTTCCTATATTATATTAATACACACTTAACAACTTTCTTAGTTTTTCAAACCTAACAAAACTTAAGGCTTTTGTTAATATATCAGCCAACTGTTCTTCAGATGAAATCTTTGACACTGAAATGATCTCTTCTTTCAAAATAATCAAGATCATAATGGTTTCCAACATCTATATGTTTACTATCTTTAGAAAAATTTACATTATTAGCCAAATGTTTTGCTGAAGAATCATCTTCAAAAATTTCGACTGGTTCGCTCATCTGTGGCTTCTGCCAAAGCAATATATTCCGCTTGACATGAGAATCTAGTAACGACTTTCTGTTTTCTAGAGATCCACAAAACTGGATTTCCTAATACTCTTACTATAATACCACTTCTTGATTTACGGTCAACAGTATCGCTTGCCCAATCAGCATCTACATAACAATCAACATGTACTTCACATAACGAGTTAAAATTTAGCATTAGATTTTTTGTTGAATATAGATACTTTAAAATGATTGTTGGTATCCACAGTCGTCTTCGGGTGATGACTGGACTGATTCTTCCGAAAGATGACTATTAATGGGTCTCTCAAGTACTTTCACTCATCTCCACTTTTCCGCTTCACTGGTTCAGTGGGAGATGACCGTTTTGATAATGAGGAGCCAATATGGAGGGTTGGAATACGGTACATTTAGAAAAGAAACAAGCACGTGCAGGTATATTCCTGACAGTTCACATCACTGTGGACAGCACAAACGTGATAGGTTCACAAAAAAAAGACGTACAATACAGGAAATAGCAGCCACTAACGGTTTCTCGAAGGGTATTGTAGATGACATGATAAGGAAGAAGAAGTTAAGGTTAACGAAATCTCGACTTTCAGAAAGGACAAAAACCAAGATAGATACATCTCAGTTCCACACCACCAATATACGAGGAAATTTGAAAAAATTTTCAAGGAACTAGGTATGAAGGTGGTTTTTAAAACAAGTCATACACT